GTTTTTTTAATTACTAGTTAAAGTGAAAATTGATACGTTTAATAAACCAAACGTAATATTATTAAGAAAATCAAAAGACAATTGAATATAACCTTAGCATAAAATGTATGACCGCAAAAGGATGCGGTTGTTATCCAACTGCAAACCGCAATATTATTTAAAGGCCAATCTAAATATAGATTAACAAATATAACTAACGTAGAACCTGTAGCATTGACATTGTACTGTACTATAATGACTTTGACATATGTTTGACATGACATATGTCACGTGACGCAATTGCTGGCTGATAAGGATGTCACTTTAAAGAGATTCCCGCCCACAAAGAGTCTTGAGTTTCAATAGCGTCTATGAATAGTTATAGATTAAATAGAGTTGAATGAAATACAGAATTATAGTTATACAAGTATTATCTTTGTCTGTAATTCATGCGAAATAATTGTTTGAAATTTAATTATTTTGAGGTTATGATTCATAACAACTAACATGTCACATTTTGGCGCCAACATGTAGGCGGTAAGCGCCATCTTGACATTTATTATTTTAACAGCCTACGTCCGCTTAAATTATATATAATTAAAATTAAGCACAAAGACACGCCGAAATTGTTAATATATTATAATAATTTAGCTAAGCAATACACATTTGCTTATAATGTACATTACATCTTTGTTAACTTAGCATAGAGTGGACGGAAATAATTTTCTTTTATCAATTTTTTCTGCCAATTACACTTCATCAGATTAATTTCAGAAAGTGTACAATAGTTACATGAACAGAGAAATGAAGAGAACGCGTCTGTAAACTTTTAACATTTTAAGATGTCTATGGGCGGTGGTCTCTACACTAATTCAGAGTTACCATAGACAACATACTTGCCATATTCTGATATAAAAGTTAATACTAAACTTCATATACTTTTTTTTTAATTTTATGGCCTGGTAACATAGACCTTTAGGTCAATTTCATATTCCGATAGGGAAAGGTCAAACACTAGATTTTCTCAGACAAATCTCAAAAAGGATAACCTCTAAATACCTGTTACTAAGTTCACATCACGCATATGTGATTGTCTGCCAATAACCCCATATTAAAACATTTAAATAGCATCACAACGAGCTGAGTATTAAGGCGTGGGCTCAGCAAGGTTGTGTAATGAAAGCGATGACATAAAGCGATAGGCACGAGTGGGCGCCAAACGTTTGCATCCAACTGTTTGTTTCTCACTCGAATTTATTTAATGATTTGCAAGATTTTAACGCGTAATCGTGATATATGTAAAAATTATTTTTTATATATAGAATTAGTTTTCGTAGATTACAATTGTATTGTTTATTTTGAATATATCTTGGTATAAAATATCGATATTAAAAGCCATCCCTAATATTTTTTTGAAATGGTATGAAAATTAGTAAAAACACAATGTAGGTCTTTAACCGTGGATTTTTGAGACCAAAATCTCTGTTTAAAACATATTGTTACATCATTTTTGTTAAAGATAATGACAGACGATATGTTTAATATAGAGATTTTGGTCTCAAAAATCCACCGTAAGTGAATGATCCAATATTACAGAATAGAAGTGAAGTTATGGAGTTCTTTTATCCCTGAGAATATATTACTTACAGTGAGTTTCTAGGCCCAAAATCTCTGTATAAATTATTATATCGCCATCCCTCTCATTATCTTTGACAAAACAGAGTTACAATGTGTTTTTATCGGAGATTTTGGTCTCCAACACCCACGGTTATAAAAATTGTGCGAGTACATTCTGCAAATAGCTGTTTGTAAGAGGGACTTAAGTAGGCTCGACACTTTGCTACTACGACATTGGTTTGTTTGTCTTAGTGTTTACGTAAGAAACTAGATATATCTAGGTATTTAGGTAAAAAGGTAAGAAGTCGTAATACGATTTAGAATGTTATTAAAATTTAATATTTTTACAATGCAACCTGTTTATTATTTTACAAGAGCTATGTTTGAAAATATAGATTTTTGCTTAACTTCTTAGTAAAAATCTTCTATTCTTTCGATTTAATAGAAACCCATCGGAAATTGAACAACGGACAGATGTATACGTTTGGTTATACAAGGCTAGTGTTGTGAACGGGTAATTATCGATAAATGTTTTTTTTTCCAAAAATTATTCTTTTATATGACCTTTAACAAAAAGGTTTGTTGGAAGACTAATTGCTTGATGTAATTAATTTCAAACTAACGATAATGTCAATGCCATATGATTTTATAATAAAAAAAATCAAGTGGATAAAAATTACTGGCTGACAATAATACCGATCGACGTTGAGTAATTTAAGAAAAAAAAAATCATAACGCGTTAGTTTTCTTTGCGTATCATTATGTGACAGGATTGCTATATTTAATACTAGCTGTCGCTCGTGACTCCGTCTGCGCTGAATTAAAAAAAAAACGCAATTATTGGCCTATACGATTGTTGTAATATATTTAAAATAATGCTCAAACATACATTTTATTAAAGAATTTTAATTAATTAATCCAAACTGTGATTATGAAAGTATTATATTAAAAAAAGATATTCAATTTTTTCTATTAAAAAGTTTTAAATTTGAAACGATTTAATTTAAATATTAATTGATAAGAAATGAAGATAACCTTAAAGTATACTTAATTATAAACTAAGCGTTTTGTGTTACAAAATAAAATTAGAAACCGGTAACTCGGACCATACAATCATCTAAATAGCCTGATAGTGATTCAGATATTTACCTACAATTTAAAAAAAATATTAGCTAATAAATTAGCATTTGATCTTTTCTAGTAATCTGATAAAGAAAGAAACATTTTAAGGTTTTTTTTTAAGTAATTTCTTGGACCAGGTCGCTTTACTTAGTTTCTATTATGTGATTAGAAAGCCATATCTCTTAACCTAAAATCAATTATTCCTATTTAACTATCTTTTTAAATGTGTAAAAAATATTAAAACAATTTTATTTACGGATTTACGGATTTAAATTTCATTTCATTAAATTTAAAAAGTATGGAATGACTGTGTGAAAGAGGATGCGTAAGAAGGGGGTAGACTCGGATATGACGGCTGATAGAGATGTATGGAGAGTAGTACATGCTGTGCCGACCCTCGATAGGGATAAGGGCAGGTTGATGATGACGGATTTAAATTTCATTAGAATTTTTTTTATATCATAATGTGGCAAACGAGCGAGCGGCTTCCTGAAATCGCTGAAATAGCAAAAGACCGTTTCCCGTAGACATACGCAATTGCATATGCGTTGCCTACCTTTAATCGACGGAGGAGAGGATGCACAGAAAGAAAATATCTTCCCTTTCCATGCAGCCTCTCATCTGGAAAGTCCACTTCCAATCCTTTCCTTATAAGAAAAAGGGTGGGAAGGGAAAGAGGACTAAATTGGGCCTCCGGGACGCACACTCATCAGACGAAACGCGGAATTGCTTCCACTTGACGCCTGTCTTCTGAATCCGATCCATTGAAGAAGAGAGTCGCATTGAATTGATTAATTTTTAGGATTTATTATTAATTTCTTGCTAATTTTTTCATAAAACTTTTCTGTTATTGATTCATAAATTATTACCAAATTAGTCGAACAATTTTGTTTTTTTTTGTATTTTAGTGTCAAAGGTTCAATGATGTTTCGGTATCTTATTTGAATATATAATTTCGTTGATAAGGTTGATTTTTTAATATTAATAATGTAAATAAAATAATAAGTATATTAGCAACAAGCTAAAAATCTTTACCTGTGTTAAGATCGTTATTATTTCTTTTATATCCTTAGACTTGTCTCCATCTCATGTTTATTTTAAGAATAAAAATTTTGAACCTTGTTTCAACTTTTATTAAAAACCAGATGTCGCCCGTGACTCTGTCCGCGCAGGTTAAAAAAACTTAATTAGTAGCCTATGTGTTCTACCAGGCTATGTTCTACATCTATGCCAAATCTCAGCGAGATCCGTTAGCCCTTCTGTAGATTCAAACAAACTTCCATCCATCTAAACATTCGCATTTATAATATTAGTAAGACTAAATATCGGCCGCGAATTCGTCCGGTCGGTTTAAAAAAAAACATAATGAGTAGCCTTTATATTCTAGACTATATACCAAATTAAAAAAAAAAACAGATAGTAGCCGATTCTCAAACCTACTAAATATGCATATATAGGTAAAATTTAGGAGTATGGTAACTAACATTGTGACATGAGAATCTATATATATATATAAAAGAAAGATGTGTTAGTTAAACTATTTATAACTCAAGAACGGCTTTACCGATATGCCTGAAAATTGGTTAATAGCTAGCTTAGAGCCAGGAGACAGACATAGGATACTATTTATTCATATTTTTTTCCAACTTATGCCTTGCTGCTTTTTATTTAACTTATCTATATATATTTTTCTATATATCCACGCGGACGGAGTCGCGGGCGACAGCTAGTTTTATGTATTAATAATACTATTAATCGAATTACTATTTTTAATTAAGATACTCTATATAAGATAAGAGAATATAAATAATTTTCACAATATGTAATCGTATTTAAAAACATGCAATTATTTCTTAAATTCCAATTTAGATTTATTCCAAACTTTCAACATGTTCAAATGTCATAATAACATCGTAAGTGTTAAGAAATTTCAATCATCATTACAGATGATATATAATAAATCAAATCTTTAATATAAATGATAGTGGTCATTTGTAAAAGGATTAAGAAACAGGTGCAAAACGTTTTGCTCGTTCGCTTAAAACCTTGAACTATGAATGATCAAATTTGCATAAGATTAGAGTGTTTTTCTTCTATTTTTATGTCATTCTAGTCTGGTGAGTCTTGTGATAGCTTTGAATCGATATTTATGTACACCTTTAACCTACCTTAGTATATTGTACATCTGTAAAATTTATCAAAAGGTTATTCTTCGATCGCTTAAATATACTTTATCATAAATGTTTTATTAGAAAATAATGTATTATTTTTTTTTGTTTCAGAACAATGAAGCCACTACTTAGTACAGTGGTGGCTCTCTGCCTAATCCTCCCCACACTAGCACACCCAGAAAATATCGAGGAGGTTAAAGAATTGCCACAAAGCAAAGAACCCGTCGTTGAGGCTGAAGAATCCAAGTCTCAAGCCAGAAAAGAACGTTGCTCAAAATGCTCGTCTACTGTCGGCTTGGACCTTAAGTCGCCGAAAGACCTTATCGCGGCACTACAGACCCTACCCGGAGGAGAGGTCCACACCCAGCAATCCTTTGAAGGCTGCTCGAGCAGCAAAGGCTGCGCTGGCATTAAGGTTCAAGACGGAAAAGTCACCGACAAATTTGGTAACTTAAACGCTTTTGGTGGCGAGAATACTTTCAAAGCCGGTTCTACGTTCGGTAGCAATCTTCTTAATGGTAAAATCTCCGGCGAACCTCTCTGGTGGATGGGTGCCAACTCTCCGTTCAAAAACATCAACTCGGCGAGCTACAAAGCCAGCTCAAGTTATACCAGCACCACTGGAGGTGCCATAGGAGCTGGTGGTGCTGACCTTTCGAAAAATATCTTCTTGAACCCGGGCGCAAGCGGCTTTGCCGGTGGACAATCGAATTACGATGCTTCGTCATCCTCTTTCCAAGCGACTAAGGAAGGAGAACTTGACGTCGCAAATAATCCGTTCTTAAACGGCAACATAAACTTGGCACAATCTGGTCTTGCTGGCGGTAAAGGATTCGCAGCGCAAGGAGGTAGCGCTTTCGGAGCGGGTTCCACCACCGCTTTTGGTAGTGGATCTGGTTACGTTGGTTCTTCTCCTAGTCCATTCGCGACCAGCACTGGGCCGAACATCAACCTGATTCAAAGCGCACAGAAGCCGAGCGTATTCGACATCGACCAGACACAGCAGACGATCAATGATGATATATTCGCTGGAGGATCTAACGTGAACCTTCAAGTTCCGTCTGGTGAGGGTCTCCAGCAGTCTTGCCTCGGCCAGGGCTACGCCTGCGTGCTGCGCCCTCAGTGCAGCAATGGTGTCACCAGCGCTATACCACTAACCAAGGTAAGAATTCATATATTTTTTTAAACATCAGTTTTAGAAAAAAACTAACCATAGTCTGAGATTAATATTATGTAGGTTTGGTGATTATAATTTAAATTACAATTAAGTATTTCGTCCGTGTAAATTGAACGACCATAATAAATATTCAACTTAATTTTTGTGTTTAGTAGAAATAACAAAATATAAGCTTTACAAAATACTTCTCCATAACAGTGATTTCTCGTGAGAATTATCTTGCCATTGTTACTCATATATTATTTACTCGTATGTATTTTAAATTTAAAAAGTTTCGCTTCAATAATACAAATCGTAGAATATTTTTTGTTACAATTACAACTTTAATTGTCGCCGTCCGTGGCTCAGTGGTCAAGCACTTGACTTTCAATCTACAGGTCCTGGGTTCGAATCCCACCATATACCAATGTGTTTTTCGATTTCCGATTTACATATGTATCCGACGTTCTTACGGTGAAGGAAAACATCGTGATGCTGCACATATCTGAGAAGAAATTCAAAGATATGTGTTAAGTCAACCAACCCGCACTTGGCCAGCGTTGACTATGGCCTAATCACCGTACGTGGGGACGTATAGTGAGCTAATGATGATGACAACTTTAATAAAATTCTTGTCTTTTCCCAATAAAATGTTTTATTGTACGCGTCACAAGAGGTCAACCGACCTTGTATTCCTAAACCTTTATTGTGTAATACTTGAAAATAAAAACCAAATAAATACATTTCAATACAAAAGGTCACGCGTGTTGACTTTACAAATGTCATAATCAACCGTGAAAAGGTCATCTTTAAAATTCACCACCATCTTTAATTCGACGCTTATAAAAAAACTAAGTGTTGCGCGCAACTTTGCTCATTTGGAATAAAAAAAAAATGAGTCATCATAATTTTTATCACACGAGAAACGTACATTTTTCCAGATAAAATGGAATAACCCATATGCTATTTCGACTTCTAATCTATGCCTGTTTCGCCTTTGATTATCTAGTCAACAAACATCCATACATCCATCTAAACTTTCGCATTTATCTATACATATAAATAAAATTGATATGTCTGTTTTTAATATTGAATTAACCGTTTTTTACTACATGTATATGAATATATGTATGTACGGGTACGTACACGAAAAAACATTATTAACAATTTTGTCTGTCTGTCTGTTTGTTCCGGCTAATCTTTAAAATGACTTGACCGATTTTGACAGGACTTTTATTGGCAGGTAACTAATGTAATAAGGAGTAACTTAGGATACGTTTCTTTAAGAAAAAATCTTGCATTTTAGAATAATAAAGTAATATTGCAATGTCCAAGTACTGGCCAGTAACGTGCGCAGCTTAAAATCAGTATTTCACGCGGACGAAGTCGCGGGATCAACTAGTATTGGTTAGATTACTTCCTAAGGTGTTACAATGTAATCGATACAAAGATAGCTATCAAAGAAATGTCCGTCGTTTTGTAATAGATGTTTCAAAGAGATAACAATGAAGCAGTGTTGTGGTCATACTGCGACGAAACATGCAACTAATATGTGTTGAAATTTACACATAATAGAACTAATTAAGAGGTCACAAGTGAAATATTCGTACACAAAAAGACGATTGAAATCTTGTACTGACATTTTCTATGTACATCTTTAGACAAGAGTCATAAGACTTTTTAAAAACTGTCGCCCGGGACTCCGTGCGCGAGGTGTTAAAAAAAAAATTAGTAGTCTATGTCTTCCAGCCTACGTTCTACATTGATGCTAAATTACAGCGAAAGTCATCAACCGTTCGGATTTATAATATTAGTAAGATGCAAAAGATTTTTTCACATAACCGGATTTCGATTTTCAAAAAAATGCGGGAAAAAATTTAAAATAATTGGTATACATAATAACGTATTGTTTATGTACATCTTTTATTTTAAAGTTTCTTAACCGGAATTCATAGAACAATCATATGTTTAGAATAGATGTATTTTCCGTCACGTCACAAACCTAACGTGTGTAACAGACACAATGACTCAACTAGTTGCAAGTTCAAGGACAACAAATGTTAATATATAACATATTTCAGTAATAGAAGCATAATAAGTGGATTAAAGGTAAGCAACTAGGCTATCGCGGATTTCCACCAAGAGACGCGAGCGTATCACCATCTCAAAGGCTAGCAACATATCTGCATTTCCTCTCGTACTTGAGATATCGTGGACGTCGATGAACAACAGTGTTCCCGCGCACATTTGCCCCCTTCTCTTATAAATAAATTCCAGCTTGATACCTTCACGCGTTTTTGAGATAAAAGATAAGGGTTCCGTTTTTTTCCTATGAGGTACGGAACCCTTAAAAAAATGTCTATTGGTAGCGGTCGCTTCGCTTTCGGGTTTAGGTGAACCAACCATGGTTTGTGTGTTTGCTACTTGATAATAAGTTATTGAGAATAACTCAAAAACCACTTCATAGTTTTTAATGTTTCATAAAATGGGACCAAATGAGACGAAACACTTTTCGAATAAAAAAAGAATTATAAAAATCGGACAACTAGTTATCGACGAATAAAAATTAAAAAAACATACAGACGATTTGAGAACCTCCTACTCTTTGAAGTCGGTTAATATATACTTTTGTCTATAAATCAAATTTATAGGTTATATTCCAATGATGGTATACTCTTAAATATAATTTTCGGGCGTTGATTTTACTTCACGAAGTTCACCTTTAAAGGTTAATAAAAATTTATATCCTTAAGAACATCATATAATAGACGTTGTTAATTTATAGACATAGAAAAAAATCTTTTATACTGGTCATGGAAATGGTAGGCTTTATATCTAACTAACTAATACTATAAATACGAATGTTACGATGGATAGATGAATAGATGTTTGTTTGAAGGTATCTCAAGCACGGCTGCATGACTTTCGGATGAAGAAAGAAATTATTTTTTTATATCATAAGGTGGCAAACGAGCAAGCGGCCACCTGAAATCGCTGAAATAGCGAAGTGACCGTTGCCAATAGACATACGCAATTGCATATGCGTTGCCTACCTTTAATCAACGGAGGAGAGGATGCACAGAAAGAAAATATCTTCCCTTCCCATGCATCCTCTCGTCCGGAAAGTCCAATTCCACTTCCCATCCTTCCCTTATAAGAAAAAGGGTGGGACGGGAAAGAGGACTATATAAGGCCTCCGGGACGCAATCTTTAGAACGGCTGAACGGATCTCTATTAAATTTGGCATATATATAGAACATTGTCTGAAAGTACACATAGACTTGTGTGGTGTTTTTTAACTCTTATGTTCATGTTGTATAGTATACCGTAAATACAACTTTATAAAAATATATACGATCACTATAAAATAATTTTTAACTTAGTTTTTTTAACTTTAAATCTTGTCACAACAAGGGTTCGGAGACGGAGTCGCAGGCAACAGCTAGTTCTTCATAAAAATACATTAAATGATTTTATGATGTCGCCAGCTCTGAAAATTTATCGATAGTTGCGTTACTCATAATTGCTTTATTTAGCAAAATTTACTTGATAGTCGGTCGTAAAATAACATACAACAAACTTTTATGATATTTAAAAAGACATGATGTAATTACATTTGTCTATAGGTACTCATATTTGGCAATTAAATTAATACAATCATCGTATAACAACCAGCCGAAATTCGCACGGATGGACGTTTATTTTTTAAACATTATATAACAATATTAAATATAGCCTATCAAACTTAGTGATGTATTCTAATGGTAAAAGATTTTTTAATCTGTATTGTTTTTGTGTTTTTAATTTTTTTTTTATATCATAAGTTGCCAAACGAGCGAGCGACCTGAAATCGCTGATATAGCGAAGTGACCGTTGCCCATAGACGTACGCAATTGCATATGCGTTGCCTACCTTTAATCGACGGTGGAGAGGATGCACAGAAACAAAAAATATTTTCCCTTTCCATGCATCCTCTCATCCGGAAAGTCCACTTCCACTTAAATGCAGACACAGAGACATACAACTGTTTTGTCTTTATACTATACTATAGATGACCGAAAATGCCAAAGTGTTCAATAATAACCTTTGATCCTTTGGCAATAAGGATTATTTTCAAAAATTACATACAATTTAATGTGAATTAGTGTTAGACCACACCTAGATGAACTTCTTATCTAAACAATCATAATTCAATGCTGTTTAATTCATTTCGTAAGACTTCAAAGTGTGTAGTACACATTTAAGGCTTTAGCCGCACTAACTTTCAAGTCTCTTGTCTTGCAAAACCTTATCTAAATAGTGTTTAAACTTGACTTGACATCTTATTAATACTATAAATTAAATTTATATGGATATCCATATGACGTTGACGTTTCGACATAGTTTAGAAGAACACATAAGCTATTTAATTTTTTTTTTAATTTTGCGTGTACGGATTCGCGGCCAGTTCAATTATAAAAGCAACAATACTTTTTGGATAAAAAAAAAAACAAATATATCCTAAACACATACAACATTCAAACGTGTATACATAACCTATGTTAATTTATTATCGCAAAACTCTACCAGAATATAAATTGTAAAATAACATCCTGGTCTAGACTTGTGCAATGTCCTTGACATTTAAAAAGAAAAGATTAACCATCTCAATACGCCATCCTCTAATACAGGATACTTTTATCTAAATCTACATTTTGTCCCGAAAAAACTTACAACTCATAAACTTTGTATTAACTTGTTTGACAGGTTTGTAAATCTTAAAACAACTTAACAACACAACAAAATTAAATGAAATATATTACTTACAATCTGTACCCTTAGTTGTCAATTTAAAAGTTACGCTAAAGGTACAGTCAGCTTCATAAATACCGTAGCAGACAAGATATGCATATATATAGGTACACCAAAAGTAATCAATTATATAAGTACATACGCTTCCATTTGCCCGCGCCGGACGCACTGCACGCACCGATTAAACGGATTTACTTTGTGTTTCGATGCTTGTA